TAACCCTCATGTCGTTTTACACCCGTATGACTTTTTTTCTTTACAGAAAACAAAACGAAAGGTCGAGCAAACTATTAGTGACTGACAGTAACGTTATCCATTCACTTTCACTGCATCTGTTTTCCATACAATGAAAGTTAATGGAGACTGACTGACATTTTTCCTAATATCTCCCTTTGTGTTTCAGGGAAGAAAGTAAGCTATACTGGTTTGTAGCGACATGAAGGTGAATAAATTATAATAGGATTCCCATTTTAGGTGAACTGTCCCTTTAACAGCATATTTTTAAATATAACAAAGAGATCCTGCTCGTGACAAAAGCGAGAGCTTCTTCAATTACATAAACTAGAAATGCACCTTTATTTGAGCATTACTTAAAGAATTAATCTAACAGAAAAATTATTTGAATTTGCATTATTCACTAATAGGGCATGAATGCGTGTATATTAATAATAATGACCCACCAGCTTCATCGCGGAGGCCATATCATCGTAGCGCTCCGCCTGCTCCGCCAGACGGGCTCTTTGGATCAGTTGCTCCCTATCAGCCATCCTCTCTGGTCAAAGGCTGTCGGTCCGCACCGGGCTCGGTCGTTTCTCAGCAGAGCACTCTTGGTTGCGAGAGAGCGAGCGCGCTCCGGTCAGCACACAGTGCGCGAGCAGAATCTGGAGCAGCCGCGCACGTGAGGGTGGAACGGCGAGCCAAAGGTTGAAGGTGCAGATTTGTATTTTTCTGTATGTATATATATATTTCGTAACGCTTTCTTTCTCCTCCCAGCCCTCTATATCCTCCAAGTTTCGCCCGATTCTTTTTCTTTCTTTCTTCTTTCCTAGTGCTGCTGCAAGCGTCCTGTCAATCCCAGCGAACAGGGTGGAAGGGGAGATGGAGGGGGGTGCGCGCACTCGCTGTATTTCACGATGACGTCATTTTCTAAAAATAGCCGCATGCCCTGCAGCCGCGCACCTGCGCAGTGAGGTTTGCTGCATTGTTCAATGCAGCGGCACAGCGCGCGTGCGCGCGATAAGCAACTCTTCCGCATTCAAATGAAGCGATGCTTCTGTCTTTCCAAAGACTTAAGGGTAATGGGATGCATGAACATGCCTCCTTAACAATGAATGTACAGACAAAATGCGTGGACTGGACTCTATTCAGTGCGAACAAAGGTCAAGTGTTTATTCCTGGCACTGGCTGATGTTCCTGCAGTGCTACTGCTGAAGACATGCAGTTACTGCATTATAACAATGGGGCTTAATTGGATCAACCTGACCTTGGGGATAATGTAAAAAAAGTTGTATCTAACGGATCTTTAATTTTGTTGAAGAATTCTTTGTATGTCCCTAACTACCGATTTGTCTTTGGTAACCAAAATGCAAAGGTGCAAGACCATGAATAACCATAAACATAAACGATCTTATAACTCCTGATTAACACCTTTGCTATTAATTCTCACGATATTTAAAACATTTTATACACACATAAACATGGGCCAGGCTATTGCAAATGTATATCGATGGGACCAAGCATTAAAAAAATGTAATGATTAAAAAAAACTGCTAAACTGTTTTGTAATGTTTTTAAAATGAGGCTTAGCGATAATGAACAAATTGATCCGATTATGTACAATTTCCTGAAGACCTACCATTCACTCAAACCCAGTCAAAACTGTGATGGCTTCAGGACATTGCAGGCGCATGTGCAGACACTCTGAAAACATATGACTCATCCATTTGAGTGTTTGATAATGAGGCTGTTGGCTTTATTTCTCTCTGATTAGATGATAGCAGCAGTACATTAGCTCTTAAAACAGAGGCAAACAGTCTCTGTTTTCTCTGACACAGTACTGCCTTTCCTCCACTGTCTTTTCTCAAGGGGCACTGGCGTTCATTTTCTCAACACAGCTTTCCCAGAAGGTCACCAGTCGATTATCCTTGTTGGCACAAAAGTCTGTGAAATCTCGCAGCAGGCGGTCGGCCAGTTTCTCGTCCCCCAGCACGCCAGTCCTCCAGGCTTTGGTCAGCATGGTGTTGTAGGCCCAATTGTAGCCCACTCGCTCCTCAGAACCAAACAGGCTTTGATTGGTGGAGGTAGCGGAGTTACGGCGCCGCCGCTGTCCACTGGAGTATGCGCGCACTCGCTCTATTTCACGATGACGTCATTTTCTAAAAATATCCGCATGCCCTGCAGCCGCGCACCTGCGCAGAGAGGTTTGCTGCATTGTTCAATGCAGCGGCACAGCGCGCATGCGCGCGATAAGTAACTCTTCCGCATTCAAATGAAGCGATGCTTCTGTCTGTCCAAAGACTCAGACTAATGATTAAAGGCTACTGGGATAATGGGACGCATGGACATTACTCCTTAATAATGATTGTACAGACTAAATGCTTGGACTGGACTCTTTTCAGTGTGAACAAAGGTCAAGTTTTTATTCCTGGCACTGGATGATGTTCCTGCAGTGCTACTGCTGATGAAATGCAGTTACTGCATTATAACAACCTGACCTTGGGGATATTGTAAATAAAGTTGTATCTAATAGATTTATTATTTTGTTGAAGAATTCAATTTATGTCCCAAACTCCCAATTTGTCTTTGATAACCAAAATGCAAAGGTGCAACGAGTATAACCGAACTCAACACTTTTGCTATTAATTCTCAGGATATTCAAAACCTTTTATCCAAATCTAAACATTGGGCCAGGCTCATGCAAATGTACATCGATGGGACCAAGAATAAAAAAAAATGTAAGATTTGATATTAAAATAACTTTTGCTAAACTCTTTGCCACTTTGGTTACCGTTGCTTGCTCAGTTTTACAGAACCAATCAGAATCAATGCAAACTCTGATCAGTCAGCTGAAAAGAGAATCCTTTGAAAACCCTCTAGAGACACAAGACTTCCATCGACTTGTATTAGAGCAGAGAAAAGCTTGTGTGATAATATGGAGGACAGCAACAGTTCTAAGGTAATGTTTTTAAAGTGCCCCTATTATGCCATTTTTAAGGTTGCTAATATTGTTTTATGAGTCTCCTAAAACAGGTTTACATGCATGCAAGGTCAAAAAACACGTTAGTTTTCTCAAAAAATAGATTTAATTTTACCTAATTTCTAAATGATTCGTAAACGACTCGTGCGAAGCAGTTCAAAGAATCAGTCTCTCTAAACCCCTCCTTTCTGTGAGCCCTCACTGCTGTGATTGGTCAGATGGCGCAGTCCCTTGTGATTGGTCCAGAGCCGTACAGAGATTGGCTCTGGATTGGTTTACCGCGTACAGCGCGTGTTGGAAACAAAACGCCCATTGCCATGACGGAATGACAGCCCTGGAGACTTGTCAATACATAGAAAAGATGGTATCGATTGTACCTTACCAATTCTATCTGGAGTCTACCTCCAAAGAACGACCGGAGCA